AAAGCATTTTAGTCTGATTTAGTCCCAGTTGTTTATTTTCTCCTTTGTTTTCCTTGCTGCTGGAGATGAGTCCATAAAGATGTTTCTGAGGTTTATGTCATAGAGTGTTTTGCCTATGTTTTCTTCTATGTATTTTATGGTTTCAGGTCATATCCAAGGCATTTGTCTATCTTGAGTTGATTTTCATGTACAGTGTGATATAATGGTCTTTTGCAATTTTTCCAGAACCCTTTATTGAAGAGGCTTTCCTTGTTCCCATGTATATACTTTGCTCCTTTGTCATATATTAGTTGTCTGTAAAAGTGTGATTGTATTTCTTGCCTCTAAATTCTGTTTCATTGGTATGTGTATCTATTGCTGTTCCAGTACCAGGGTGTCTTAATTATTATGGCTTTATAGTATACTTTGAAGTTCAGAAATGTGATAACCTCATTTTCCCCTTTTTAGCCAGGAGAGCTTTGTCTATTCAGGATTTTTTGTGTTTACATATGAATTTCAGTAATCTTTGTTCTATTTCTTTGAAGAATGCCATTGGGATTTTTATTGGGATTGCATTGAATAATTAAATTGCTTTGGGTAGGATGGCCATTTTGACAATGGTCATTCCTCCAATCATGAGCAGGGAATATCATTCTATTTCTTTCTGCCTTCTTTTCTTTTTTAACAGTGTTTCATAGTTTTCCCTTTATAGGTCCTTCATTTCCTTTGTTAGTTTATTCCCAGGTTTTTTTGTTTTTCGTTTTCTGTTTTTTGTTTTGGTGAGGTTGTAAATGAGATAACTTTGTTAATTTCTTCTTCTTCTAGTTCACTAATGGTATATAAAATGGCAGCTGGTTTTGTGTGTTGATTTTACATCCTGCCGCTTTGCTGAAGTGTTTTTGTTGTTGTTGATGATGTTGTTGTTGAATTAGTGTTTCCATGGAGTCGTTGTGGTTCTCCATGTATGTTATCATTTCGTCTTCAAATAATGACAGCTTTAGTTCTTCTTTCCCAATTTGGATTCCTTTTATTATTATTCCTTTGTCTTGTTTAATTGATCTAGCTAGGTCTTTTAATACTATCTTGAATAGTAGTGGTGAGAATGGACATCCTTGTCCTATACCAGATCTGCGTGGAAAGGCTTTCAGTTTTTTTTTTTACCATTGAGAATGGTACCAGCTGTAGGTTTATCATAAATGCTCTTTATTATGTTAAGATATGTTCCATTTATCCCCATTTTCTCAAGGGTTTTCATCATAAATGAATGTTGAACCTTATCAAATGTTTTCATATCATTCATGATATGACCATGTGGTTTTTCCTTTTCTTCTTGTTAACTTGGTGTATTACAGTTATTGATTTTCAGATATTGAACCATCCTTGTGTTCCTGGTATAAATTGTATGCAGTCATACTGTATAATCTTTTTAATTCATTGTTGGATTTGATTTGCTTAGAGTTTATGGAGGAATTTTTTTTGTCTAGGTTCATTAGGGAGATTGATCTGTAGTTTTCTTTCTCTGTGTCTTTGTGTTGTCTTTGGGGTTTTTCTTTTTGGGTATTAGTGTAGTGTTGGCCTCATAAAACATGTTTGGAAGAATTACTTCTTTCTCAATTTTTTGATAAAGTCTGAGCAGGATGGGTATTAGTTTGTCTTTGAAGGTTTGGTAGAACTAACTTGTGAAGCCTACTGGTCCTGGACTTTTGTTTTTTGGGAGAGTTTTGCTTACAGTTTCACTTTCTTTGCTTGTAATTGATTTGCTCAGGTCAGGCTTTCTGGTTCTTCTCTATTTGTTTAGTTTTATATGACTATAATTTTAAGGCTCTGTCCAGTTCATCTAGGTTGTTGAATTTGTTTCCATATAAATGTTTCAGGTAACTATTATTATTTGTGAAGTATTTTTTGTTACTTTTCCTCTTTTATCTTTGATCCTATTTATGTGAGTTTTTTCCCTCTTTATCTTAGTGAGCCTAGCTAAAGTTTTCTCTATTTTCTTCAAAGATCTAGCTTTTGACTTCATCAATCATTTGGACTCTGTTTGATTTCTATTTCATTTATTTCCACACTAATTTTTATTGTTTCCTTCTACAGACTTTTTTTTTAATTCTTCTTTTTATACTTCTTTGAGATGAGAGGCAAGGTTGTTTGTTTGGGCTCTTTCTAGTTTCTTAATGTTTGCCTGTATACTATATACTATATACTTAATGTTTGCCTGTATACTATTGCTATATACTTCCCTCTTAGAACTGTTTTTGCTGTATCCCAGACATTCTGAAAGGTTGTATTCTCATTCATTATCATTTGCCTTGAGGTATTTTTTTTATTTCTTCTTTGATTTCCTCATTAACCCAGTGGTGGTTCAGTAGTGTATTACTCGGTTTTCACATGTTAAATATTTTCTTTTTGTACTTGACTTATAGTTCAGTATATTTATGGTCAGAGAAGATACTTGATATAATTTCTGTCTTCATGTCTTGATGATTGTCTTGTAACCCTGTATGTGGTCAACCCTGGCGAATACCTTAACATAAATATTTTAACATGAAAAGATCCATGTACATAACAGCACTGTTTACAATTGCCAAATCACAGACTCAACCCACGTGCCCTTCAATAGATGAATAGAAAAACTGTGGAGCAGACATTCAATTGAATATTACACAACTGTGAAGAAAGATGAAGAGTGGCATTTGGCACAAAAATGGGTAGACCTTGTGGTGATTGTGTTGACCGAAATCATTCAAAAAGTGAAAGGCAGATATTGGATGGTTTCTGTGTGAAATAGAAATATCAAAAAAATTACATACAAACAATAGAAGAAATAAAAATGTAGACCTAGCAAAAAATAACATACTGGTTACCAGAAGGAATAGGGAAAAGGATGGAGGAGATGTGTATGGGTGAGGGTTTTTTGGTGACGGTAATAAAATAAATAAATAGATAAATAAATAGATAAACAAAAGGTCACTATATTACTCCTCTAAAGCTAAGAATTATTTTAATTCTTAGCTATCAATTATTATCAATTATTAAAGGAATTTTTTTTCATTTGCCACTTGAGAATTTGGAGCTGATGTGTCTAATTAATGGGTTTAACACAGACCTCTGAAATGCAAGGGAGGCAGGATTTACAGTGAAGAGATTGCCCATAAGGACCGATTGTCCTAACCAATCATTTCATTAGTTGCATGACCTTGACAAATCATCTATCTCTCTAAACCTATGTTTCCTTGTTTGCAAAATGAAAAATGATAGTATGTTTTCCCTTAAGGGGTATCATGAAGATCAAATGAGAGATGGAAAAGTAACAAAATGCTATAATCTTGTAACTTACTCTTTGCTCATTAAAATTATCCCTCAAAGCCAGGTACAGAGGTCAAGGATCTAGAGGTAGGTTATAAACTTTCACTTCTGGAATGTGATCTTGGCATGCCTTTCTTGATCTCTGCTTAGATATCATCTTATACAAAAAAAAGATACTTAATGCTGCATACCTTCTACTTTCTTGAAGAATTTGTCTTAACTTATAGCTATTAAATTATTTTCATGAAAAGTATTAAGGTATTATATATAAAACATGGAAAGATTTTATATGCAGACAAGAAAACTAATCTCCCCATGAACAGCATAGTGAATGTCTGTAACTCCTGTTTACAAAGAAGGAAACTTATTCTCACAGCTGGGGTAAGTGAGAAGCAAATACATTTCAAACTCTGACGTGAGGGCAATTATCATAGTGCAGGCACACTCTAGTTATCATTTTATTTTTTTAAAGATTTATTTATGCATACAAGAACTGGGGTACAGGCCAGAGGGGTGTGGGGGTGTCAGGTGAGAGGATTCACCAGAGACAAAGTGGAGAGCAGAACAGGCGGATTGACTGAAATACACTGCTGAGGGGAGCAGCAGTCGAGCCAGGAGAGGTCTGCTTACCATGTGGGTAGCTCCCTGGCCGGGGATTGAACTTGTGCTGCAGTGGCTTCATAGGATAGCTTCATAGGTTGCGTCTTAACCCCTTGCACCACCAGGGAGGCCCTCATTTTATTTTTTTTAGGAACTAGAAAGGGCCATCCTACTTAAAGTAACAAGACATTTTTAGACAAGGGGTGTTTATAAATTCTGGAGTGGCAGAGTTAAGCCTGGAAGTTATGATATAAAATATATGTGTATATATATATATAATAAAATAAAACCAATTATGTTGAGGAAATCTTGGAAATTCTCAGCCTCTTGAAGATTGAAAGGGACTTTTCTGCTTCCTGTCCTTGACTTCACATCCATCTTCACATGATATCCAGGAAATAACTTGTTGGTTTTTTCTCTGTTTATCTAGATGACTACAAAAAAAAAAAATCCTAATTGCTTAGCTCATACAGCTCAATAAAACAGGTACACCAAGATATTTTGACATAACAAGGCACCAACAATAAGAACTTGTTTTTATCAGCTGGTTTTATTAATTTCAGCTCTATTCTAAACACACAGGAAAATATGTTGTCTGTAAATGAAACTATCAGTGGAGAAAATGACACTTTGAAGCATTTAATACCTGTAAACAAGATGAGTAAAAAAAGTGAAGAAACTTTTCTTATTGCTTTATATTTGCTTATAATTTCACTGGTTATAAAATGATGCAAACAAAAGACAAAATCTCAGAAATCTAACTTATTTACACTCCTAGACATTTATATGTACAAAGTCATATCTTTTTTTCACTTTAATGTAAACCACACATCTGAGATACTACAGAGAAAGTAATCTTTCATGCTGACTGAATATTTGTTCTGACTGAATATTTGATTTGGAAGCTAGTTTGGTTAATCTAGCAGTTTGAACATTGTTCCTTTTAATCAGTTGTTACTACTAGTGCTAGAAAGTAAAACTAGCAAAGAGAATAAGATATTAATTAGAGCACCTGCATGAGTTTAAATATGTTAATATGTGACTGATATAGACTTCATATAGCCTGAAATGGTCAGCTACTTATTTACTTACATGGTTATGGTTTTGTTTGCCTCCAGGGAGATACAGCTCTGAGAGTGACGTGTGGAGCTTTGGCATCCTCCTCTGGGAGACCTTCAGCTTAGGGGTCTGCCCTTACCCTGGAATGACAAATCAACAAGCACGGGAGCAAGTAGAAAGAGGTGAGCCAAAGGCACGGGTTAGTGGTGTTCACATCCAGCTATAGGGTTAGTACCACAGCTGTAGCTCTGGTTTCTTGAGGTAAGGGAGAAGGCACATACTATTTGAGAATATAAACAGAGAGCAGAGATGTTGATAAATCTTCTTTTGAACCCCATGGATGGTAAGGCTTTTATACAACATAAACAAATTTTAAAAGATCTCAACATTTGAAAAATTGTGTCCTATAGACTTTTCTTCCACTCCCCCTACCTGGCATCACATCTGCCAGGTCGTGCTGGTCACTGTCTTCAAGGAAAATAGGAGGTTGAGGAACACTGCCCTGTTTTTCTATTTTAGGCCAAGTAAACACCACTCATATTACTGCTAATAACCTTCAGGAAGAAATTCTTGAGATTTTATAACACTTCTGTCTTCAGAAGTGGTGTTCCCAGATCAGGGGCAGGGATAAATAGGGGATTGAGACATATTAGCATGCACTGGTATAGTCCACAGCTCTCAACAGAAACAATGTATTTTGACCAAGTCCAATGCCCTAGCATTTAGCCCTTTCAGAGTGGCATGTTTATACTACTGGTTATAGGAGGTTGACTTTCTAGCTCCGGTGCTACCTTCTATTCCTCACAGACATCTGTCGTCCTTCCTGAGGAAAACACGTAGGCACATATACACTGCCCAGCACAAAGCTTGTGTGCTACCAGGCAACTTTGGCTTCAGATTCTTCTTGTATTGCAAGGGAGCAAACTGATATGATTTTTATTTCCCTATTGATAAAATCCTCATCATCTTTTTATCTTCAAAAATCTAAAATATAGTGATGACTTTTTTAAAACTCTGCTCAGAGTATTAAAAGCAAATTCTAATTTTGTATATTTTTTACATCATTTTTCATTTTTGTTCAATGTATGCATTTTCATTATAGTCCCCATACAATTGGTTATAGTCCCTATACAATTCCCACCACCCTTGTGTTGATCCTACTCCCTTCTCCCCCCAACCCTCCTATAGTGTGTCTCTGGTTTATAGTTGCTTGTTGATTTTGATTTTTTACTTTATTATAATTAGTCTAAAAGCAAATTCTAAAAGCAAATACTTAAATACTGAAATATGCACTTGTATGTGCTGCAACTTACATCAGATTTTTGGTAAATGAACAGACAAAATAATAGGGTCTTTGAACTAGAAGGCAATTATTTGGCTATGTGATACTGAATTCTGCATCTCTTGTAGAGAACATTCAGTTTGTCCTGAAATGATTTTTTGTTCTATTACACCTACAACATAAGGCAACAAAAATTTGCATACTGAGTAATGCCCTGTGTGAACACATATATTATCTCCATTCTAAATTCTCTGTTCTTCTTCAGGATACCGAATGTCAGCCCCTCAGAACTGTCCAGAGGATATTTTTAAAATTATGATGAAATGTTGGGATTATAAACCTGAACAGCGTCCCAAGTTTGCTGACCTTCAGAGAGAGCTGGCCACCATCAGGAGGAAAATCACATAGTGACAGAGCAGCACCCCCCTCAGCCTCAACTCTGTCCTCCAGCAGAGTAACATTGTTCTCATTAACAATGAGTTTATACCACATTACCTGCAACAATCTTCTAAGGTTATTTTTTTATTAACTTTTTAAAAATATGTGCCACTTAAAGAAAAAGGCATTGAAGAAATAGACAGTCCACCAGGGGCTTTTTGAGCTCACCACAGCAATCCTGCCATTTCAGGCCATTATAAATAAAAAAGCACAGGCTGTAACCATGAGGGTTTACAGATCGTTTTCACACCAGGACCACTGACATTGCTCAAAGTTTTCTACTTCAACACAGTTCATGGGCTGCTCTCCTGTGCCACAGCCTCTCCTCAGTTGGTGCTGTAAGGTGTACTGGTAATGCCATGTTTGCAGGACACATTCCAGCCGATGTTGTCTTTCTGCTCTGCCAAGCAAGGCAAAATTATATTTGTAAAAGTCATTTTATATGGAGAATTATGTGGACCTCCTAGAGTTCTTCTTTTCTCTCTTGCCAAAAACCAATTGCCGTGTTAGAGTCATCATGTTCCTGTGTTTGTTAGCAAGGTTGTCATTTCTGTCCCATCAGAAAATGACATGTGAAAAGTCTTAACTAGCACACTAGTACAACTGAAGCAGCAGCTTTAACAGCAGCACTGTGATGGCTAGAAGTGAGTTTGAACAGGGGTGGGGGGTCGCCTAGGGACAAGCAGCTAAAGTAGTGATCAAAGAGGAAGAAAATATAAAATCTGCCTTCTCACCAGATCACACACAGAGATATGCCTTTAAAAACACACACTTTTGCTCTGAATTCACACACAAAAAATGTAAGTTCTCAGAAATGTTTTAAGGAGTTCATTGGTAAAAGCCTTCTTAATGGCGACAAAAAAAAATTGAGAGAAACTATAAGGCACAGGTTCACAGAAATAACATACTTTTGGGTAAGGACCATCCCCCCAGAGGAGACATCCCAGAATCTAATTCCCCTCATCTGTACCATTGTCATTATTGTTAGAATCTCATGATCCTAGTTCACAGACATATCTGTGTGTGCACACACCTGTTGCTGCCATGAAGTAGGGCAGGCATGAGTGACACATAAGTCAGATGGACATTATTGAGGAAAAATAGACAGGGCCAACCCTCCTGTTTCCATTTGCTCCCCTCAGTCCCCTTACACTGCTACTTGGAAATTTTTATCAGCTGACAGGTGCATGAGCACAGTTCTGGGGACGTTTCATATGAATACTATGTGACTCGAGTTAAAACTAGGATTCCATTGAGCTAAATCTTAGCTACATCCAGGGAACTTACCCCATATTCTGTATAAAGTTGCCTCTCAGGATAAATATGTGCATAGGAGATGGTCACACTCAGGGGTAAATGTGGCCTAGCAGACTTTGATGAGTGCTGAGGCCTATGTCCAGATAGCAACTTAGTGATTATTTAGTCTACATTCATGGGAAGAGCTTATGGGATAGAAATTCCCCTTTTCTTGCCCTATCCAACTGTTTGCTACCTATGAATAACATTGCACCTAACTCACACTCCATACTTTTAAGAGGATAAAAGATAATAATGAAGTGGAAAATGGCTTGGGTATGCCATTTTAATCTCTTTGAAAGATTTACACACAATTAATGATTACTACATCCAGAATAAAATGAAAACATTATAAACTTGCCCTTAAAATATATTGTAATATACAAAGCAGCTTTTCTTAATCAATATGGTTTTCCCTTCTGTCAAATGGAAATTACTTTTGATGGCATTTACTGTGATAAATCAAAACACAGATCCAAGACTTATGATTGTCATGGTCTTCAGGCACTTGCCAGTCTCTAAAAGGAAGAATCAGAGGAGTGTAAATACACCCTTTGTCAGTATTACCAAGTGAATATCTCTATAATATTCTTTGTTTAAAGAAAACAGCCTCCTTCACTTAGTAGCCTTAATACTAAGTTCTCAATAAGGAAAGAGAATGATGGCTTGGGCTTTAATTTTGTGAAAAAAAACCTGAAGCTTAATCTTTGTATTGTCATGTGAAAAATGAACATGGCATTGATACTTCATTCATCCAGGCTGATAAAATTGCAGTTCACATCAGAACTCTGTGCTTAAATTGAAGAAACTTTTCAAAACATCATGACATCTATAGCATTTAAATTCTATTTCGTTCTTTGTCCCAAGGCAGGCAGTGGTACAGTTCAGGATTAATAGCTCATTGGGAGTCTTGCAAGAGCTTATCAGTTGTATAGAACATTAACTTTAATATAGGCACATGCATTAAGAAAAACTTATGAAAACCATTTTTTTACTGTTAATTTTGTAGTGCTTAAAGCATAATTTATTCATCCCCTCTGTCACTGATAATTATTGGAATTATGTACTTTCGGAGGCTAATCCATACCCAAAAGCACGCACATGAATACTGTTCTGAATTTGCAAGTTGATGTAGGGAAAGAAGGCTACAGAAATGCACAAAATCCTAGGATTTATTTAGTAAAAAATCAGTTGTAATCAGAATTACCTATGGTCTCAGTGTAATTATGCCAGGTCACAAATTTTGGGGTTGACAAATTTTCCAAAAATTTCGTGTCATAATAACTTAAACTTATAAACAAAGTGGGGGACAGGTAGTAATTTACATAAATTTCTTATCAACAGAGCCTATCACCTGCATTTTTATATCTTGACTCACCAAGGAGCTATTATGGGAAATATATAAATAGTTCATTTTTCAAGAAAGGAAATATTTTATAGCCAAATTAACATTTATCACCAACATTTGAACTAAAATTAATTTTGTGTTCCACGTAATTTAAGGTTACTTCCACAACCAATGTATTCTTTCTCTTCCAAGAAAATAATAATAAAGTATTAATAGGTTTTATTTAAACTTTCAAATCCAGAGGCTTTTATTTCAGCCCATCCTGCTACTAGGTCTCCAGTGAAAGGTATCACATAATTACTTTTCTTTTATCTTCCCAATTTAATGTTGGCAATAAAGTCCTTCATCTATGCCATTTTACATAAACACATTATTATTGAAACATTTTACACTCAGATCAGTATAGACATGAACCTAATGTTTTTATTGTATTAGCTGCTATTCAGTGCACATTTCACAATTGTTTTTCATTTGGGGTTATTATTTTTTTAGGTTTAGTCATTGGAATAGTTTTAATTCTTTTAAACTACAGTATGGGCTTTTTTTGGTCTGTTATAGTCATATTTCATTTTTGCCATTTTTGTATAGTTTGGTTAGTACCACTAAAATAACTCTGGTTTGACAATATTGATAAAAGCATATGTCAAGAAGACTGTTTTAATTATGATCTAGACCACACACTGAGTTCTTTGTTAAGAGATCAACATAAGAATTAGAATGCAGCAATACACAACCAGGTGGTCTCTTGGCGTTATTCTTAGTTACCCAGTCACTCCACCTAAAATTTTTTTAAGAATACCTAAAAACCATGCTTAGTATGGTTATACTGTTTTGTGGTTATGTATCCTTGAGCTGAGATTAATTGATATTGTCTGAAAAGGGGTTATTTGCCTCAGCCCTTTTCTGTTACACACACTTTCTTGATCACAGCATCTGTATTTTAGATGTTTCTTATCAACAGAATTCATTGATCCTGAGCACTGTTCTGAATCATATTAGATTCCCTCTATATGAGCCCTCACACAAAGCAGAGAATAACACAAAAGGAGCAACAAAAGGGCAGACAACTGAAAAAGACACATTTCCTTTATGCATAAATATCTTGATTAAATGGAAACAAAGATTTTATATGAAAATGTTTATATTACATTTCCATTAAACTATTAAGTTAGCATAAGTGTCTACCATTAAAGTGTTACCTCCCTTACTACTAACTCTGATTTTCCAATACATACCAGAATTTATTAAATATTTTTTCTGTTGTAGTTTCATACCGAGTCTGAATACTGTATAATTTGAAAAATACAGAAATGTATCTTCATTTCTTATTTAAAAGTGAAAATTTCATGTGCCAAAAGTGGCCTGAGGGAGATTCTAGTGTACTGTCTTAGAGTCCCATAAAATTCTCCTTTAAAAAATAATGCTACAATATAGAAGGTGTATAAACTATATTTCAGTCAGAATTCAACTTAATGGAATATTTATTGCTCCTTAAAAAATCATCCTACTGCCTCAGTGATTCAAAAATTAAATTATGAATTGTTAAGTTATAGACATTAAGACTCATTTAGCAGTCTAACAAGGACTGAGATCCTTGGGTAGTAGAAAAATTTGGCTGTACTAAATCCCTGGTCCCTTTAAACTACACAGACGTAATGCACAGAAACTTCAGCTTATCAACTTATATGGTGCTGAGCCAAGTATCTACCAAGGCAAAGAAAAAAGACTGGATATTCTAAGGTAGGATTATGCCACCATTACAGAGAGGTTGGAATAATTAGAGTGGAACAAAGACTTGGACTGTGTCTCTGGAAAACCTAAGATGAACAGTGCCACCAGGATACAGCCTTTTCTTTAGAAAATTTAAAAGATATTGGAGCCAAAAGAAGCAAAAAGAGCAAACCAGCACCTCACCCTTGCATTAGGAATAGTTTTACATCCCTAGCTCAGAGGCTAATATGCCCCAGGCCACACACACACACATTGCCCTACCAACTGACGGGTTTGGTCATGTGTATTTAGACTTTTAAGAGACTACTCAGTCTCTTCACATTTTCACTAGTAATATTTAATATTTCTTGAGCTAAAATCTCTGATTATCCATACTTTATTAGAAATCTTGGTTGCAATGAGGATTAACCTGGCTAGTCTCCTAAATGACAGCATGCTTAGGTCAGCACTACTTCACCTTAACTAATGTTTATTAATTGTTAACATTAATAATTTCCAGACACTAGTTACCCCAGAAGGACCTTATTTTGATGAGCTCTACTTCATGGAAACATGGAATTCAGCAGGGAAGTACGAAAAGACCAATTAAATCATGTTTCTTGTCTTTATATTTTTAACATGTGAGGGAAAGGAATCAGGAGCATTGTAAAGTATAATGCAGCGTGACTAAGGGGAGCCATGGAAAGCAGCAAAACATTCAGTGAGGAAGATTAGAGGAGATAAGGGGCAGTAACAGAGTGCCAATTGCAAAGCCCCGCAAGGGCTAACCTTCCAGCAAAAATGCAGCATCAATAAGGGAATGCTAATCTTCAAAAGGGAGGTTTGAGAGGCTTCCTTCTGCATGTTATTAAATATTGCATGCTTCTCAAGTGTCTGTAACACTTCTAAAAGGACATTGAATTAGCTATTGATCTGATTTTCTCTGTCCTCCCTGTAATCTCGGGAGGTAGCTGTTGAATGAAAATCATGCTTGCTTTGTTTTTCTGTAAGGCTGAGACATGACAGGTTCAGCCCATTCCCTATGCAGTAAGAAGCTGAGTAAAGGCATGCACTTGTCTGGAGCAGCCAGCATTGGAGGAAAATTGCCAGGAATGCGCCTACTTTGTATTTTATTCAAGAAAAAGTATCCTGCAGGTGTCAATGCTTGCAACATGAAGGCAGTTTAGCTTCCCACCTTGCCAGCAAAACTCATAGAGCCCTAAAACAAAAATATTTAGAATTCATTTTAAAAAAATATTCAAATCTTGAATTTCTATACTGTTTTCTTAAATGGTACCACTCAACCAACTGATTAAAGTATTCTATTAAGTAATAATGTATTCTAAGTGAGGACCCGGGAGCAGAAATTTTTAATACTTTGGGGATGGGTTTTTCCTCAGATTTATTTATTCAGGTAATGTTTCTTGAACATCTGCCATGCCAGGTGCAGGGAACCTTGCTGGGTGCTGGGTTTTCTGGTTTTGGTTTTGGTTTTGTTTGATTTCTGGTTAATATTTCCTCTCCTCAATTCAGTTTATTGATCTACAAAAATAGAAAAGCCTATCATCAGCTTTTATTGGATATTGTCATAATTGGCTTAGACCAAAGAGTTTCTCCTCAGCTGCCCTGGAAGCACCTGCTTTTAGGGGGTCAGCTGCACACCAACTAAGCAAGAGGCCTCATGGCAGATGCAGCTTAGAATACAAAGAAATCCCACTTGCAGTCCTTGTGATGGAGAAAGGATAATTACTGTCATGACTCTAACACAACTGACCTATCATAAAGGCTCTTGGGACATTTTCCAAGGACTGAAAGATCACTCTTAGTATTTATGGCTAGAAAAGCAGCCTGTTGACATGGCCAGGTAAGCTCATTAGGCAACCTACCTCCAAAAAAAATGTTGGAAACTAACAATTGTTATTTTACTTTAGCCCCGAGATGTATTCTATTCTTCCACTCCACTCTTCATGGCAAATATTTTTTTGTTATCTCCACATTTCTCCTGTCAGTAAATATCTAAAAATATTTCAGTTGTGTAATATTAAAGAGTTTTCCTATGGCTTCAGAAAAGAAGTTAGCAAATATGAAGCCTTAAGTTCCAAATAAGTCAATGTACCCATCTCTACAGACCCAACAGTGCCTTTGTGTTAAAACATCAGCTCTATATACTCTACAGTTTCCCCCAAAACAATTTTTAAAAAGTCAAACATCACACATTTCCCCTATGCTCCATATTGTAGATGCTATCCAAAGCAGATTCCAAAACAACATACTAAGAAGCCAGATTTCAACAATCAAAGTAGACAATAGAATCACAACTTCAGTCAGTGTTCCATTAAAATACCCTTTAAACAACTACAACTTTTTAGTCAATTTATTAGGTAACAGGAGATAATGCCTTGAAAGCATGAGACAGATGTCAGTAGGAAATGTCAATGTTCTAAGCAACATTGAATAAGTGTAAGATGGTCATAAAGAAATTCCAACTCCCACATTGGAGCAGCAGAAACCTGAAAATGAAAAATGAAGTTGTCTATGAGTTCAAACCCACATTTTCTTTCATAGCTCTGGTCAAATTGTATAATCTTAGAGTCTTTGGGAGAGTTGCCTGAACAATCTATGGAGCAAAAAATCTAAATCCCTTGCCCCCTCCCCACTCCATGGAGGCTCAAATTTCTAAGTACCCTGGATAGGGACTGAGAGAGAATCTGGAATCAGTTCTTACTGAGACCCTAAACAGTCTTGGTTAGCTCAACAATCCATGCTATTGTTAATTTACAGAATGCCCCCTCCAAAAGCAAACACCTTATTTCATAGGTATATTCCTTTTAAAAAATAATTTGACGTGGTAGAAATAAAGGTGCTGCCTGTTCTTAAGAAATGCCAGACTGTTGTAAGCAAATGCAGAGGGCTTAGTGCCCAAAGTCATGCTTAATGTGACTGAGAATGTGTTTTCCTAACCCAAAGTCCAGTTCTTATATGCAGACTGTGGGGTGCTGTTGAGGCCCATCCCCTGCCTTTCTGAACTGCTTTTATTCAGCTGCATGCTGAAGAGCAATCCCAATAGAAATGAACTTATTTGCCATAATTCTTCTTCAAATGCTAGGCCTTTCACAATTACAATATTCATAAAATACAATGTTTTAATGGATTTTACTGTCTTAGCTTTAGTATCAAAGAGATTATTTCCACAGATTCACATGATTCCCCAAAACAAGCATAATTAGAGTCCTATGATTCTCAATCCAATCCAACATTCTGAGCATCAAATCACAATCAAACATAAAGGGGAACTGGGAGGACTAGGTCTTGGTTATTTCAAATTCATGATCAAAGTGACCAAAGACATGAAACTTCCTCTCACTTGTAGGTTTCACTTTCCATATGAAATGTCAGATACCCAGTACCATCTGGGCTGTCAGATACTCCACAGCCCATCACTCAACATGGACCACTGGCCAGGCACACACTTTTCATGGGCCATCCTTTTCCTCTGTATATCACTGAGATTTTTCACTGAAACAGCCTTATTAGTCATCTATAGATTTTATGTTTATGCTTAAATGTGTTAAATCAGATGATCCACTTAAGCAACTAGAGTACAGTAGGAGGTAGTGGTGTAAATTTTGCTGATTTTATATGATAGTTTTCTTTATGTGTGTGTTTCCTTGGTCTAGTGAGCACCTGAAAAGTTTGGAACTTTTGGAAGTCATAGCCATATACCACATAGGATTAGGAAAAAGCCAGATATATGTAAGAGAATAAACTAAGTTGTCAAAGTTCCAAGAACAGCCTTGACTTCTCCAGGGACCCTGAACATTGTAAATGAAGACAAAAGTACAAATGATGCCCATCCATGTGACTGTGGGCAGCCCACTGGCCTAAGGCACAGCAGTTTTCCTGGCACAGACCCAAAGCAAATGGTTGTAGAAATGTGATTGTTTTTTTTCCTCTGGATAAAAAGATGAGTTTGAGATGCTGAGGTAAAAATGGGGCCTGCCTTCAACCCTTCACCGAATAGATGTTGTATTTGAAGCATTCTTTGGAGCAAAGAACTCCTGTGGTTTGCAAAGTTTCCTTTCAGTGCCAATGAATAGTCCATTTAATGTCAAGTTAAAGCACCTTTAATCTTTTTTGTTGTTGTTTAAAATAATATATTTGTGAAGTGGATAAAAGAAACACTGGAAATTGGGTGCTTCTTATAAAAGATCAAGTGTAAAAACATACAAACAAGGCCTTTGGTGACTTTATCTGTCTTTGTAAACAAGTCTAAAAATGAATGAGAGCTAAATATATAAAGCAATTAGTTGTCTTTTACCATTTATAACTCAGATCTGTATTTAACACTTATTTATTTGTTAGTGTTTAAAATCATAAGAAATACACTTTGAACTTTGGCTAACATTTTAGGATGTTTTTAAAATTGTTTTATACTTTTTAAAAACATGATTTCATGCTTTTGTAAATTTAAGATCACTTTTGAATAGCAACTTTTTATTTTCCAGTAGATCAATTATTACTCATAGGTCTGCAGGTTTTTTTTTTTTACTGCACCCTTATAATAAATGTAAAATATTTATAGCAAACTGTGCCTTGTCTTGTTTAATCTTTCCATCATGTTTATATTTCCCTTCCTTTTCTTGTATAAATATGAGTAGAAGAAAGGGAAGGAGAGATATCCATGGTAACTGACCTCCTAGGGCGATAATAGTGTATGAAAAATTATTAGCTTTCAGTTTCTCTGTAATTAAGCTATGAGTTCTGATGATAACGGGTGTGTGTTGCTTGCAGTCCAATCACTGCTTCCTCTGTATAGAAATCAAAATTGAAATGTAGTTCAAGTCTCATTTCTTTGAGTGGATTGGAAGTTTGCCAAGGGTTTTTTTAATTATTATTATTGTTTCATAACAAGAATTGTTTAGACATAACAAAGTGATTTAGGGGAGAAAGGTGAGTAAGAGCGATGTTTGGAAAAAACAGCAGAAAGCCCAGCAGGTACAAGCGTGAACCCTCACCTAGCTCTAGTAAGGGCCTGAGCTGGTCACAAAACCGAGATGCCGCGCCAGTCAGCAAATCAGTAACAGCATTCTGTTATTTGCAGTTTCCCTGCATTAAACCAAGCCCTCTCCTCACCCTGATCTTGTATTCAAAGAGTAACTTCCCTCACCTTGAAAAACCTGAGTTTACTATTTCTGCCACTCACCCGCCGCCGCTTCCCCCTCCCCGCCAAGCTTCTTAGGCAAAAGCAATCCTTGCAACTTTCATCTTCCTGCTTCTGCAGCAGGCTGAGCAGAGCCGTGTGTCCCCGGCCCTTGTGAGTACCTTTTCCCATAGCTCTTAATTGTTTGTCTGGAGTTGCTTCTTCATCTCCAGCAAGTTTATTTCTGACACAGCATTCCGGCCACCTCACCATTTACTGACTTCAATTAATCGAGACCAAGTGCTTCCCCTGGCAGATTGGCCATCTGCCTGAAATCCCGTCCCCCGGATTGATGAGCAGCATCTCTGAAATTCTCTGGAGTCCTCCTGGTATTTAAAATCCTGCACTTCATTGTACAATCCTGTCTAGTTGGTGATTTATTCAGGCTGATGGGGGTGATGTTGCTTGCCAAAAAAAAAAAAAAAAAAAACATGAATTTAAGAACTAGTTTCTATTACAGCATCAAAGGGTGCTCCTTTGATTAAAAGATAAGCCTAAGTAAAGTGCTGTCACAAAATTCCCAAATATAATACAGCTGGAATGACAAAAATACAGGTCAAATTCTTGGCTTGCAACTGAGGAAATTGTTGGCATTCGTTCCAAAATCATGTGGTATTGAAATAAACACCAATCTGGAAACGAGTTTCTCATCCTTCGGTGGACTCACTAGTTTGTAATCTTGAACAGGCCATATCATTATAAAGGCCACAGTTTCCTCACCTGTAGAATCTGGTTGGAGTAAGTAACTCCCAAGTATTAAACTTTTTCCCTTTCCTCCTCTTTCTTCCTCTCTCATTTTCCCCGCCTCCCATCAGCTACTCCCCCATCTCATAGCGTTCTGATTTCCTCCAGGGAAATCTCCTCCTCAGGTTTTGGTGTGGTCATGATGTTAAAGTAATTCCAAGTGCCTCCCTCAATCTCATTACACAAGTCAAAGGGTCCATATTCTCCTTTAGTCGCTCACTTAGCTTCTTTGCCCCAGGATGGAGTTTTGAAGGAAAGAAGGAACAACTAGAGGGCATTCCTCCCAGGAGAATGTTGCTGCAATTCTGCTCCCCTGCCCTGCCAAGCACCCTTGGCATCTTTCTATCCTGAGCCTTGTTATCTATCCTCTCATTGACCTTGAAACACCCTTGCAGATAATTCCCTTCTACCTAAATTATCTTTGGCTGCAGCCAAAGATCCAGATACAGTGGATCTCTAAGGTAAGGCCCCCTCCAACTTCAAGGGTCTCTACTCTCCCAAGTCATTTTGGAAATCTCTGAACCCCAGCGTTGTGCAGGATGCGTTTTGTTCCTTTCCTTTTTACAGTGGAGCTGTCAGACTTCAAGAGCGGTGAAAAAAAAAGGAAAATTCCCCACCAGGTTCAATCATCTAATGCTGATTATTTAACGAAGTCTTTTAATGTTTCCTGAGCTCTGGACCTAGGTAATTCAAAGTTATAAATGTTTCTATTTGCAATCTCCCTGCGGTGACAATGGCAGCAAATGATAGTAAAATGATAAGGTCAGTGGGCTAGAACATTATGAGGGCTAATTGATCTATCACAGCAATATAAATGCCAAGAATTAATAGAAAAATAAATGTCACAGTAGCTGAGTATTGACAAACTTAGAAGTTATTCTCTCTGGCATCCCTCTCCCGGTTTTCTCAGGGATTGGTCTTCTTCCATGATCCAGAAGGTATTTCCTTTTCTTGCAAGCACACATACACACACGCCTAATGTTTCTTTTCACACCTGGGAAAAAATCAATGATTAATGTAAGCCTGTTGGGTTTTCATGCCAAGCAAATTTCCCCATAGTGCCTCTAGTTCTTTGCTTTGCCTGAGATCCTCCCTGTAGGGTAAATGAAATTATCAGGCTTTGCTGCCCTCCCACCATTAGTATTAATGATAGACCCCTGTGGTCCTACACGTGTGCCTGGAGTAAGGTGTGGGCATGCATAGGTGGGCACACCTGGGCTGAGAGACTGGGCTTATAAGGGCGGCATCATGGGGACGCCAGCAGAAGAGCGAGAAACAGCAGCAGCAGAAAAACAAAGACCGCAAGAGAAGGCCTGAGTACCCAGAAGGAATGAAGATTTGCCAGGGGCTGAAAGGCCTGCCAGCCTCCTGGACCCCAAGACCCCTGCCTGCCGTGTACCTGATTGCTGCACTACATGTGATGTAAAAAGCTCAATAAAAGCCTGAAAACCACCGAGGGCTCCGGGACTCTCCTTTACCCGTATGCCCCAACATAGAAAACCTGCTCTGTGCCTTGCTGGCCCAACACTCCTCTTTCCTTTGCCTGCAATTTCCCTGCCTAATAATGCCAAGGAATAATTATAATTGGTTTCAACACAGTCGTGTAGCACAGTGGGCCTGTAAGGAACACACTTCTGCCTGTGCCTTGTGAGAGAGAGGATGTGCATGGGTTGAGGGGATAGAAAGGAGTGGAGAGGTTGGGTTGGGGGAAATGGAGGGTTTGAGGGTTTGCTCCCTGGTGTCTATCAGACTCGCTATCTTGTGAACTACGAAGAGTGAGGCCTCTGTCACATCCAGCTGAAAATTCAGGGTAGGGTAAATGAAGATTGCTCAGACTTTGGTGCCGTTGGCCTCTGTGGCTATCACCTGAGGCCTTGAATGCAGGAAGCATTCGGGAAGGGCTCGGGGCACACATGCCTGATGGAGGACACCTGGAGTGTGGTGTGGGCAGGTGTAAGTAGGCACACTTGAGCCTGAAGGCTGAGCATATAAGGGTGGTGCCACAGAGGGCAGAGCACAGCAGAGGAGAGCGCAGAGGAATGGCTACCGGAGGACGAGCCGCTGCTACAGGAGGAAGCCCAGAGGACAGAACATATTAAAATCGAAGGGGTCAAGTTGCTGTCTCCCGGCTGGCTTGTTTCCCGGGTGTCCTATTAGAAAACCTGTGGGGATGACGCCAAGGGCTCCAGGGTTCTCTGTCAAGCTTCCTGAACCGACGGTGAACCTACCTGGCTTGGGATGGTTGCAGAACATTCAGACACCAGACTTGTTTCTCTTCCAGAACTGCATGCTTCATTAGTCTTCCAGGAAACACCAGTTAGAGATGGGGAGAGCCTACCAGTTATGATCGAACTATTATTTTTGTCTTAGTCAGGTAAGGGGACAGGCAGTCATGTGTCTCATCCAGGTTAAATTTCAAATTTCCTTTTGTATTACGCTAAATTGAGTTTCTCTCCTACTTAGCTCTGATGCATGTGGAAATTGAGAATCGGGATACCAGCAGCTGTATACCACCATTCCTCCTTTCTTTGCTCCACTGCTCACTCCCATTATTATTACTTTTTTATTGAAGTGCCACTGTTTAACATCCTTGCTAGTGTTTTATTTTTTTAAGAATACTTTTTTTTTAAGATTTATTTATTCATTTACACAAGAACTGGGGTACAGGCCAGATGTGTGGGAGGGTGAGAGGATTCACCGGTGACAGAGCGGGGAACAGAACAAACACACTGCTGAGGGGAGCAGTGGGCATGACAGGAGAGGTCTGCGCGCCCCGTGTGGGACCCACTGGCAGGCGGGGATCGAACCATCGAACCGGCGTTGCAGAGGCTGCTGCGGACAGCTTCACACTTCACAGCGCAGCGTTCAACTGCCTGCACCACTAGGGGAGGCCCCTTGCTAGTGTTTTAACACTGTAGGATCTCTCTCCCCCCCAGTGTAGCCGCCACAGCCCCCCACCATAGTCCTTTGTGCTCTCCCGGCCTTTTCTCCCCTCCAGCCCCCTCCCTCTGAAAGCCACAGATCCTTGGTCAGCTTTCAAGTTTATCTTTGTCTGACCCTTTTGGTTTTTCTATATTCCACATTCTCCTGTCCCTCATATATATCCCTGCACATGGTTTGAAATTAGTCCTAGGTCAATATACCCTAGTTAGTTTTCCTTTTACCCCAAAGCAGACGTTCCATGAGTATAATCACTGAAGTATTTTAAATATGTACTTCTTAGATGCTCGCTCTATAATCCCTACAAGAGTAAACATAATGTAAAAGAGGAAAACTATAAATAAAAACATAGTCCAATGATAAAGAGCAGAGTCAGAAAGGAAACCAAGTATCAGAAATTCACTGGTTATAGTAATTAGTGAGTTTAACTGTTGATAGATCTCCTAACAACCGGCCGGGGGCGAAGAAAGAGAAGTACTGAAAGATGAAAAAGGCTGAAAATTTATGAGCCTAAACATTT